GAACTGAGTTGCTTAGAATGTCTGCAACTTTACCATGAAAGTTTACATCAAACCCAAATTCTAAAAGGCATAATACAGAAACCAAGTTCCGTCGGATGTCGGGAGCGTAAAGTACATCATGGACTATCAAGGTCTTCCCACCACGCAAAGCAAATTTACAGGTGCCCAAACCTTTAACCTCGATCCTCGCATTGTTCCCAACGTAAAGCCACTTGCTTTGATACGGCAATCGACGGTACTCGATAAAGGATCCTTGATCCTTAGTTACGTGGTTTGTGGAGCCTGAGTCTATAATCCAAGAAGAAAAAACAGGTTCTGTTTGAAAAATAGTACTAAAAACATATGAAACATGTGAATTCACATAATTCACTAATACCTTTTCGCTCTCAGTCTGTTTTGAACAGTTACGTGCGAAATGACCTATTCTCTAGCAGGTGAAGCATTTGACCTTCTTCAGGTCTAGCTTCTTCTTCTTCCCACCTTTCTTTCCCTTCTTCTTGAATTGCTTTTTTCCCTTTTTGGGTTGAGGACCACCCTTCTTCCCTTTCTTTTGGAACTTCTTGCCCTTTTTGGAATCGGGCCTTGATTGGGAAGTGCCAGCATCCTCAGTGTAATAAGCTTGTCCAGAGGTCTTGTAAACCTCTAAACGTTCATCCTCCAACTTAAATGCTTGGCTACATTGTTAAAAGTAACGATTTTTCATTATGGGTCAGATTGACTTTCATGTGCTCCCAGCTAGCTGGGAGCGATCTGATAACAGCTTGCACTTACTGTTCATCAGACAGGACATGTCCAGCTTCTTTAAGTTCTCTAATCATGTTGGCCATCTCTCTCAGATGTTGCTTCATAGGATTGTTTGGCTTGAGTTTGTAGGTTTCAAACTTAATCATTAATCTCCTAAGTTTAGTGGTAGAAGTACCACCAAACTTGTCTTTCAACGCTATCCACATAGCTTGTGTAGTTTTGTGCCTTCCAAACTTGCACATTATGTCATCAGCCATGGCACTCAGAAGCATGATTCTTGCTATGCTGTTTTTCTTCTTCCAAACTAGGTAAGCCTTTTGGTCTCTCCTATGTTGGGTCGTATTCCCAGCTTCAAGTTCGACCATTACAGTGATTAAAGGTTCAACGGCATCTTGTTCCTCCAAGATGTATTGGACCTTTCGGTGCCATATGTCCCAATTATCGCCGTTAAGCTTTTCCCCTTTATTAAGCTCAACAATTATGTTCTTGGTTGCCATTTTTAGTTCTGTGACAAATTTTTCCCACATTATTCTACGTTCTCTCTAAAAAAGAGACGTACCATAGAACATTTTAGTTATATAGCACAGCGAAGTATACAATGTGTTGTACTTATATCATCCTTGATTAGAAAGTAATGACACTGTAAGATCCATGATCAAGAGCATACGTTTGTACCTCCCATCACATAGATACATGCAATAATCATTATGTCCTATCAAGAATTCTATATAAGTACTTTTGTGACTCTTAGAAGTCTCGTCTCCTAAAAAAAACTCCCATTTATAAAAAGTATACAAACATTATTCACAAATAATCATATAACAATAATTTAAGTAATTTTATTAAATGAAATAACACACTTAGTTTGTTTACAATGTATGAAACCAAAAACTTGATATAACAAACATTAATAAAGTGAATACAAATACTGCATCATTTGATATGAACATAAAGGTAATCAAGCATTGTTTTCCTCAGTTTCCTAAGTTTATGTGTTTTGGTCATAAAGGATGATACTAAATCTATATCCCAAATCCAGTAAAATTTCCTTATGGGTTTGCCTTTAGGTCCGCTTCTAACCTTTATTGCTTTTATGTACTCCATTATGACTTTAAGGTAGAATTCGGTATTCTTCTTATCAGTCATGTAATGGACATAGCTGGTGAGCACGCCATTGATGCCTTTTATGTTCGTCAGTTTGGCCGCATCTCTTTTAGCTATACTCATAGCTAAAGTAGGGGTACGTGGTTGATTCACCTCTTCTCCTTCCTCAACTTCGGTTTCATTGGGAAGATCTAGTGAATCATTAAAGACCAAGTGAGGTTCGGTACGGAGGGGTTCAATAGGGAATAAAGATTTCGACTCAGGTCCAGAATCCATTAACTCCTCTGGGTCTTCTTGAGGAACCTCTTCTGGGTCCTCCTCAGGATCCTTATCCTCTGGTTCATATTCTGGAACTCCATCATCCATGTATAAGTATTCCAATGAACCATCTTTAATATTTTCACTGCTACTAGAAGCCTCTTGCTTCATTTTCACCTAAAACAAAATAATATAAATTATTTTGAATATTCTGGAATTTATTTCTGCATGAATATACCAGAAAATACATTGAAAATACTCACAAACAGATCCTCAATTGTCTCAAAAATTAGCAAATTATATATCAAAATGAAGATCTTGATTTTAGGAATTTTTAGAGACTAACCGCACCTCAAATGGAGCTTCCACACGCCTACACGTGCCCCAAGAAGCATAAAATCCAAGAAATAGGAAATTTTTCAAGTACCACTCGGGCTGGCATACGTGTAGTACACGTGCCGCCATGCAGCCGGTCGCCGGCAACATGCGCCACCAACGGTCAGGTGGTGGTGCCCATGTGTTTAGAAGGTGTGCTACGTGGTGGCACGCGCCACGTGGTGTTTCTGGGCCAATTTTTTTTAATGATTAATTAATATTTTTTTTATTGGGTTGGACCGAGTTGGGCTCAGATCAACCCGATTGAGTGGCAGACCGCTTCTTTTTTTTAAAAAACTGTCATTTTTTTTTTTGGGTTTCTGGATCTAGGATCCAGCCCAGAACAGTTTCCTATATATATATTTTTGTACTGGGCTGGATCCTACTTCTAGGTCAGTTCATTTTTTTTTAAGCAAGGTGCCAAAACGACGCCGTTTTGGCCCCTGGAGGGTGTCTTCAACCTCCAACCGGGTCGCCTGACCCGACTTCTGCAACTGGGTTGGGTTCGACGAACCTGTCGGACCCGAAACCTTCTCTCCTCCATATTTTCACCATCTGACGGCCAAATTTCGCGTATTTTATATCATCTTCTTCATTTTTTCGTCCTCTACACAATGGGATAGGTTTTGGAGCCTAAAATTTTGATTTTAAGCAAACCCAAAAGCAAAAATGGTACGGCCGAAAAAATGATCCAAGAAAAAGAATGCGTTCATGGAGGCAGAGAAGAATCTAGTATCTCTAATCACAAATATAAGATACGAAAACTATCATACTGAAAGTAAAATGGAGGATTTGCATAATATTTATTGAAGCAAATCTCTGGATACTTAGAACCGAAAAACAGAAAAAAGAAGAAAAAAAGAAAAAGAACATTGGAACAAAAAGACATATGAAACGCAGGCCACAGAATGACACCAACAAGAAAAATAAACCTAGGCTCTGATACCATTGTAGAGTTTCAGGCATACCTGGAGTGTTCCATGCCTTCAAATAGCCACACGGAGATCCGGTTATGGTAGGAACTTGGATCAGTGTTACACAGCAAATGCACCGGGGAGATGAAGAACAGAGAGCGGAGGGAGGAGTATGGAGAAAAGAAAAACTGGAAACCAAAACTGATCCTTCGGTTGTCTTTTTAACTCCATGTTTTCGTTTGAACTAAAAACTACCTCCTCCACATGGTTATCCAACCGTTCCCTCCTTTTTTTTTTGTAAATTAAATAAAAAGGCAAAAATTACAATTAAAGACCCACTAGTTCTACTATTCCCACCAGAACTCCAAATGTCAATGGGCTAGGGTCCAATCTACCAAGGGTGGACTGGCCCATTTTCCTACAAGAATCTAAAAGAGTAAAGTTAACAAATGTTTATGAGAGTTGACGAATTTTGTTTATTTTCTACTTTTTCAGAAAGTTTATGTATATTTTTGCACCCAAGTAAGCTTTATGGTATCTAGTCCCGATTACTGTTAATTTCGTTATTAAAAATAGACCTTAAAACTACTTCACGTGTCCCACTAACGGAAAATAATGGGCGTTAATGACATTGTTATTTTTGTCAATTTTTAACAGTTTCATGTATATTTTTGTTCAAAAAAAAAAACTCTATGATGCCTAGTATCACTTGGTTTAAACTTAGTAATTAAAATTGCACTTTAACCTGAAAAAAATTAGAGTGATGGGTGGACCGTTAAAAGTAAAGGAAAAAGATGCGCGATACCGTGTGAAAAAGCCTTCGGATTTCCAAAGTAAAGGCCATGATAGCGCATACAACTTTACATTTATTACACTTCACAGGCGACTTGACCCTTCAAGTCTTCCACTCTCCAAACAAACTGCCAAAATTGCAGTCCTATAATGGAACTGGAACCCCACCCACACTGCCCATCAGTTCATGCAGAAATTAAAGCCAAGTGAAGCTGGTTGAATTGAATTGTTATAGCCCATCACCCCCATTTCTCTCTTTTCCCGTTTAAATCCATTATTCCTTCATTATATGCAGAGTTTCGATCCATTTCACAGATAACCCTCTGCTTGGATAATGACGTTCGTTCTTTGTTTCTTCTTTCATTCCGAAGTGCCTTCACAAAACGCTTAACTTCAAAGCGTTATGATCAGAGCGCACAGATATGAAAATAGCATTTGCCAGCAAAATCTGAAAATCACCCCTTTGACCTTTAGCTCTTGTTGTTTTCTAAAGCCGAATCTTTAAGACCAATTCTTCAAAGTTATGAAAAGCCATCGTACTGCCATTATATTTATCCATCTCACAAGGCAAACCTCAACCACTCAAATTTTTCAGCTTAATTATGAGGGTCCCGTGCATATAATCGCCTCACGGTCCACCCTATTGGTTATATTGCTGTCTCGACAGTGATTTTCAACATATCCGTATTCTTGACCATCACGCATTAACGTGAAGATCCAACATGTGTCGCTGTCTTCAATTATAAAGTTGTCAAAAGTTTCTCGACCCTTGTTTTAGGTAACATTGATTTTCCCGACTTTATTGGCTCCGAAATAGTCAAAACTCAGATATATGTTTGCAAGGTGTTTGCTGTTATGCTTGAGACGAATTTAATATAAGGGATTGTAATGAGCATGAGGGAGGAAATGTTATGGATGGTGAGAAAATTATGAGGGAAAAGCGGAGAAAATGCACTCGCCTTGTGCTGGAGAAGCATCAACACCGTGCTTTAATGGCTGTTTTTCCTCTTCTTTTCTTGCTTCTGAGGAGTCTCATGCTGATACATCTGTGAATGAAATCAGATCAGGCTATGATTTTGTGGCAGTTACTTGTTCAACTCTTCATCCAAATGCCCAATTCACCAATCATGAGGCTCTTCCTTCTCTGCACGAGTCATATTTGAATTTCACAAAAGCTTATCCTCTATATTCCAACACTCTTAAGGCTGATCAGATAAGAGCTCAAGAGTATTATCACTTGAATTTCTCTAACCTCTGCTTTGATTATACTGGATACGGCCTTTTCTCCTATGCTCAGCAGCAACAATCCTGGCCTGGGACTTCAATGGCTGCTTCTTCGTCATCTCATCATCCTCCACTAATTCCTTTAGAACTTCCATTCTTTGATATTTCTTACAAGTCTGTGAATTTGCATTCCCAGGTAGTTTACGGTGGCGAGGAATCAGAACTAGAGACCAGTATCAGAGAAAGAATTATGGCATTTATGAATTTCTCTGAAGATGATTACTCTCTGGTATTCACTGCCAATCACACATGTGCTTTTAAGCTTCTTGCAGATTCTTTCCAATTCACACCTAATGGAAACCTCCTCACCGTCTATGATCACAAAAGCGATTCATTAGATGAGATGACCAAGAGCTGTAACAAGCAAGGAATAAATATTATGTCAGCAGAATTCTCGTGGCCTGATCTCCGAATCAACATGAAGAAACTAAGGAAGATGATGCTGGGCAAAAGGGATAAGAAAAAAAGAGGCCTTTTTGTTTTCCCAGTTCACTCCAGAGTCACTGGATCACCATATTCATACATGTGGATGTCCATGGCTCAAGAAAATGGTTGGCATGTATTGCTTGATGCTTGTGCATTAGCACCTAAAGAAATAAACACTTTAGGACTCTCTCTGTTCAAACCTGATTTTCTTGTTTGCTCATTTTACAAAATTTATGGAGAAAACCCTTCTGGATTTGGCTGTTTATTTGTCAAGAAATCTAGCATCTCTGCTTTAAACGATTCACCAAATGCCACCAGCATCGGAATTGTGAGCCTCATCCCAGCATTGAGAAAACCAGAAACCATTTCTGATGAACAAGAAATTGTGTCTGAACACCAATCAGAGCCAAAACCAAGCAAAAGTCTTGAAACTTGTGGCAGATTAGAAGTAGAATTGAAAGGATTGGATCATGCAGACGAAGTGGGGTTGGTAGGAATCAGTAGCAGGGGAAGGTATCTGGTGAACTGGGTAATTCGTGCACTTATGAGTCTGCAACATCCAAGCTCAGAAACAGGGTTTCCACTGTTAAAGATCTATGGATCGAAGATAAACCCTCACAGAGGGCATGCGATTGCATTCAATGTATTTGATTGGAAAGGAGAAAAGATTGATCCATTTCTTGTGCAGAAACTAGCTGACCGGAACAACATATCTTTGAGTAATGCGATTCTGCAGAACGTGAAGATGAATGAACAAGACTGGTGTGAAGTGAATGGTGTGGGGCAACCTAGGAAGAAGACCATGATGATGACGAAACAGGATTGTGGGATCTCAGTTTTGACGGCTTCATTAAATTTCTTGACAAATTTTGAAGATGTGTACAAGCTCTGGTCATTTCTTTCCAGGTTCTTGGATGCAGATTTTGTGGAGAAAGAAAGATGGAGGTACATGGCTCTCAATCAAGAAACTCTTGAAGTTTGAACGACATATTGTTTGGGGTAAGATTTTCCTGCTGACCAATTTTTGATAAAAACATGAGATGTAAATGATTTTTTTTTTTAATACATTCAATTACATGAGGCTGAATAACAGGAAATTTATTTATTATCTTGTCTTAAAAGACTCAGTTTTTTTAATAGATCCTTCACAAATAGTCTCATTTTGTTAAAATTTCTTTTTTCACCAAAAAAAAAATTTCTTTGGCTGACTTAAAATTCAGTCTTCACGCATGTTCACACCCCAAAAAGGGGGGGGGGGGTTTTCAAACAACCATTGGGCCGTCTTGTTAATATTGAGATTTAATATTAAAATGAGGCCATAACGTGGACCAGGGTAGGCTACTAGCCTTACTGGACTAACCCAACTCACAATGTTAATTTAAAGGAAAATGATAAGAACAGATCAGTATTAATAACATTGTATACAAAAAGGTATATTTTCACGCTTGAAAATGCATTCACGTTAAATACTTGATGTTCAAGTTTGTCATCAAAAGAATCATACCTGAATCTGAATTAGTTTATAAGTTATCAATAAAGTATTTTAAAAGTTACAACCAATTTTTCTTAAAATTGTAAGTTGAGATTCTAGCTTTCCAAGTAACTAGAAACTTCTCCTCCATGTGATGCATGTATTAGTATATTTTATTAAGGGTTAATATAATTTTTGGTTCATCAAGTTTGTCCTCACTTTGGTTTTAGTCTCTCAAATTTTAAACCATAGGTTTTGGTCCTTCAAGGGGCAAAATGATCTAATTTTTTATTGAATTATAGGGATTCTCACACTTGATTCCCGGCCTTCCCATAAAAGGAAAAAAAAAAAGAGTTGTTACCAAAATTTTAGGAAGTTAATTTCAAAAACTTTTTTATAAAATACGTTCTATAAAAATAGAGTAAGATTTGGTAGTCGATTATGTGTTGGAAGGTGTTAGGCACCCCACAACACCCATTCAAGAGAACGGTTACCTTAAGTCAATTAGTCAAAATTAATATGGCCTTTTATTAAATTTTAATTACTCTAAAAAAAGAAATAAAAATAAAAGCACATGACACTTTTTATTTAAAAAGAAAAAAAATAAATTGTTTACAAACTTGGACTTGATCTCGAATAAAATCCTAGGGCTTATATAACCTTTAGGGAGATCAAAGCCCACATAGTTCAGGATAGAAATGTGTGTCACTCGGTTGATGTCTTTTGGAAAAATGTTTATATGATTTATTTAAAAAAGACATTTTTTTGTTGGTTTCATTTTTTAATTTATGAAAACAATTTATTTAGAAAATATTTTTTAAAGAAATTTTGGATTATCCTCCCTGTAGAAGTTCTCATAACCTCACATGGGAGAATAATATGCTCCCATAACCTCATATGGGAGAATACTAGTTTGGCCTGGTGGAGGTTCAAAAAATCACATACAACTCTGGAAAAATATGTTGAAATTATATATTTTATTTTTATGAAGAGAGAACTTTCCATTTTATTTTTATTTGTAAGCATTAGGTTAAAATCATTTTTCTTCCCCTTTCATTTTTATTAAAAAAAATCTATCCAACCCCATTGGTATGCCTACAGAGACTCCCATAATTTTACACGGCTTACCAATAATCCTAGATGCCTGAGGAGATTCTCAAAACCTCATATGCCATGAGCTAGAAAGGGATGCAATGTTTTTTTTTTTAAACAAAAAAACAGAAGAAGGAGAAGAAAGAAGAAAGATCACCCCTATAAAATGAAAAGAGGTTAAAATCAGTTCATCAAGAATTTCATCAAATCCAGCATAATCGGAAGGGAAGAAATCCGTACCTGCTATTTCTTCATCAATTGGCTAAAAAGATAAGAAAAATAATTAGTAGACAAACCAATGGACAAGTTAATATATAGATTGTGTAATGCCTATCTCTGTTGAACATATAAGGACCAAGTGAATAAGATTGAGGATGATAATGATAAGAAAGGAAGACCGGCACACCCAAAGGGAAATCAAATAAGATATAGGAAATTAGCCAAGATCAATTTTCTTCCCATGAGCAATAAATTTGTTAGGCAATGGCATAATAAAGTGGATTATGAGAAATATATTTTAAAAATAAGGATAATAAATATAAATGAAACAGTGGAAACACTCAACTACTAAAACCAAGAGATCAAGCAACAGAGTATAGAAGAAGAAGAAAAACAGGAAAAAGAATAAAAGAAGCAAGATGTGCCTAGAGCTTGAATATGTATGCCTCAGCTCTATTGATATGTTCATCGGCATATCAAGTATAGGCACGTGATGATCCCATCTTGAATGATGAGATGGAGTAAGAAAATGAAAAGAATGCGTTTCTACCTCTCTCTCACTTGCTTAGAAACCTCCCCCTTGGCCTCAAGAGTTCTTGCCTGTCTTCTTCTAATTCTTACTCACTTATTTATAAATTCTAATTAGGGTTCTTCAATTTTATTTTAATTTTTTAAAATTTTTTTCTACATTATGACTCATAATAACACTTCCTATTTAAGTATCAAATCGTTATCAAATTGTGATTTTTTTATTTTTACTTTTGTTTTTTAATTTTTCACAATAATGACACCAAAAGATATAAATTGAGGAGCAAATCATCTTAAATGAGGGATTTTTATTTTTATTTTTTTTAAATTTTTTTAAGGATCCACCTCATATTTCCTAATTTGGAGTTCAATGAGCTTTTAAATCTCATATTTTATTTTATTGCTATTATTATAGGGAGGATATTCGTATTTAATTTTTCTTTTTTGATTTTTCACATGTTGGACTTCTCAAACTTAGCTTCTAAAAAAGAATCAATGAGGATATTATTTTTTATTATTCTTTTATTTCTTTTTCTTTATATTTAATATTTCTTGTGAGACTCGAACAAAATTGGGTGTTCACAAGGACCAAAGTTTTAAATGAAAAGAAACTTGAGGGTCCAAAATGTAACACCTCCTTTAACACCCTATTATACGTCAATTGGAACCATCATAACGCATTTCTCAACGTTTCCGAGTGAAAAATTTCAGTTCCAAAATCTTCCTTGTTAGTCTATCCATACATTGTTCATCTGAATTTGGATCAATTTGAAAATTCATAACTAATTCTAGAAAAATCAAAATGAGGTGATTCCAATTTTTCCTTCAAGCTTGCTAAGACTTCTTTAGAGGAAAAATATCCATTGGACTCAATTCCATCGAGAATATCACCAGAAAATTCGACAAAATGCACTGTTTATATTTCAATTTTCAAATTTTTAATATTTTATCCCGATTTTAAAAGGGCATAACTCTTAGCACAAAACTCCAAATTTAGTGATCTACCACTTGATTTAAAGGTAAAAAATGAGATCTATTTGCTTGCAAAATTTCATGTCTAGATTCCATCATTTGCTTATTATTTTATGTGCCACAAGATTAGCTTTATTGGGGACATTTTTATCCCTTATTCTCTATTATCTTGAATTTTATTTCCTTTTTCCTCTTTCCATACCCAAAGGGCATTCTACCACTCAATGTTTCAGTATTAGGACTTGTCATGAAAATATAGTTTACATCATATCATCATCCAAAATCCATTATAGCTTAACATAAAAAAAATCCATTATAGCTTAACATAAAGCTCATTAAAGCATTACATAACTTTTCACAATATCATGAATTCCATAATGCTCCTTCATCCCAATACCATTTCCTTGCCCTTGTCATTGGATGAACCATCCCTTATTTGGTACATAAGTTAACATAGGAGGGATGAGATTTCAAAGAAATCTCAGTAGCAATTGAACTATAATTATCATGTAAATCAAGCAAGTTATAATGTGACATGTTATAAACTTCAAGACATCCTCAAGCCACATAAAATCATGCTCAACATCATGCTAGGAGATGAACACCAACACTTCCATAATAACACAATTCAATACATTTGGCCAAAGCATAACCCAAAGTCATCCAATCATCCAAGATCACAACACAAACTCCTTAATCCAAGCAAACAACATAATCACATTAAACAAACAAGATAAACAATCAAATTATAATTCAATGCTACCTTTAAACATTTGATTAATTTGATCTCCTCAAAGGGATTATGTTTCTTCTTGATTTCTCCTCACAACACCTATTGATTCAAGCATAAATATAAGCTATATTAATAACTAAATAACTTAAACACAATCCTTTAACTTTAACTTAACAATTTCCCACTTTTTCTTGGATTTTTAACAAAATAGTTCCTCCTTAGAATCAATAATCTCTTGGCCCAATCCTACACAATTTTTCATGAGGAATTCAAATATCTAATCAGTTTTTAAAAAATCAAACCCTTCCTTATGGAATCATAATGGCCAAATAGGGGGTTCCAGCTTTCGAAAATTTCATTTTTGATTCCAATAATTTTACACACTTCCCTTTAGCATATTCCCATACAAAAACACATTTTAAACCCATTGGAATCATCAAATCAATGTAAAACAATTTCCTCTAGCATATACTACCCTTGGCCAAAATGAACATATAAGACCCTAGGTGGGTTTTCTTCCAAAAACCACTCTATACACCACTCACACAAGCTTATTCCACTTGATATTTAAGGTTTCTATCCTTTCCTAAAGGTCACATGTTCAAACTAAAATGGGGCAGCAATTTCTCTTAATTTTTCAAGCCAAAAACCCTAACTAAACTAGCTTGAAACTTAGGGATAGGGAGGCTTAAGCATACCTTGATGTTTTCTTGATAAAAAATGAATGATTCCTTGCCCAAATACCTCAAAATTTTTGGTCTCCTTGGTCTGGACACAAAGTGGCAGCACCTCCTCCTCTTTTTCCAATTTTCTAACATTTTCTTGTATTTTAGGGAGGGGTATTTATAGACAAATGGACTTGCCATTTTTCATTGATTTAGATGCCCAAAATGCCACAAAATAAGATGATTTGGCAGCCATCAAATGCTACGTAACTTTAGATTTAACCAAGTGTCTATATACTAGAATTTTTCAACATTTATCCACCAATTTTGGATTTATTTTAATTAAAAATAGTAGGGTCCAGAAGCTCAATAAAATTGGGCCTAATGTGGGCCTAAAAAATGGTTTT